TTACTTTACTATCAGCCATATGAACTGGGTGAATACTAATCAATAATCTGTTAGTGTCATTGGTGATAGGTTGAGTAAGAAAGAGTGTGTTAAAAGGTTTATTCATAGAAATTAATTGTTTTGAGTATTTTTCATTTTATTAATTATCATACATTAGATTAAATTATAACCAAACTATAATTTATATTAAACAAAAATTTCAGAGAGAAAAACGATAAATTTGTCATTTAATCATGTATTCTTCTTATCAACTTCCACCTGGATGGAGGATTGCATATACCACTGATGGAAAAGTCTATTACCTTGATGACAAAAATAAAACTACCCATTGGCATTTACCTCAAAATGTATATCAACAACAAATAAATTCTCAACCAAATAATTTAAATAAACAAACTCTCAACTCTAATAAAAGTCCTGATACACCAAAAAGAAGTCCTGGATCAATCCAATCTACTTTTGTTGAGTTTAAAAAACCACCACCATTTATTATTAGTTCAACTCCAAAATTAACTGGCGACTCTTTATTAACTTCATCAGGAACAGTATCAAACGAATTAAAAGATACTTTTGAAGTCATTGATGACTTCTTTCAACCGTCACAAAAATCTAACACACCAACTATTAAAAAGGATAATGAAGTTATTCTTTCTTCAGATAAAAAGATTAAACCAAATATTAATCTTTTTAGTTTAATTGAAGACAAAGTAAATTTAAGTGTTCCATTACCTTATGCTCAAATTAAGAAGAGTTTTAATTATCCACCACTACAAATTGCAATAAACACTAATATTTGTCCATGTGGAAAAGAATTTGGATATTTAAAACATCAAAAACAACAATGTAAATGTTGTAGAAGGTATTTTGGTAATGACTGTTTAAATAATCAAAAATGTATTCTTTGTAATTATCATCAAGATGGAAAATGTCTTGGGGTATTACTAACATACTGTGAATCATCAAATTACAAAGACGCAAATCTTGGACTTCAAACATTAATTACAGCAAATTCAATTAATACATTCCCTCCAAAAGTAATCATTGAAAGTGGTATGATTTCAGCAATTTTAACTGCATTAAAACATCCATTTTGTTGCTTATCTGTATTAAATCTTCTTGTTGCATTAAGACAACATACATTTATTCGGTTTACAGATAAAGAATTAAGTTATTTTGGACGTTTAGGATCAACTTCAGATGATGGAAGAATAATAGAACTTTGTATTTATTTATTATTGGCAGTTGTTATAGAAAAACTTCCACTTCCATCTACATTATTTGAATTAATATCATTACCAAGAAGTATGTCTCAACAATTATATCAAAGTCATATCCTTCGTTTGGCATTATCCCAATATCATTTTCATCCAGAAATAACAATGGCATTAATATCTTCAATGAAGAAACAAAATATTGTTTTGAGCTCTGTAATGATTTATGACTTAATTCAATTATTACCTAACTCTATGATACTTGGTATTCTAACTTTCTCTTCATTTAATCCTACACAACGCCTTGCATTATTAAATAGTAACATATTATCATGTCTTATTCCAACTGCTGAGTCATTACAAATTACTATCAATTTAATTGATTCACAATACACATCATTCTTTGAAGGACATATGCAATTAATTGCTCATTTATTAACTGATGAACATGCACTAACAGGAGAATTATCAAAAAAATGTTGCCTTTTTTTATCTTCACCACAAAAAGAAGAATTTATAACATCTTTAATTCAAATAGGAGCTGTGCCATTACTTCTTCGTTCAGTCATTACAGACAAAATAGGAATTGGGTTAAATATAGTAGCTGAAGCAAAATTGAAAGAATGTGTTAGTACATTATTAACAATTAGTGAAAATAATGAGGTCAGAGAACAATGGCTTGGTGCAATGAAGGCTCTTGGAGGAATAAATAAAGATATGACAGATTATATTTTTATTGTTGTCAATTGTATCAAACAACAAGAATGCGTTAAAAGTGCATTAGAATTAATGTTAGTATCAGAAAGTATAATTGAAATGATTAAACAAACCGATGATAATTTGATTGCACTACTTCAAACAGAATATCGTGGAGGAGCTGCTAAAGTTATTCTTAAAGCATTTCAAATGGGAGAAAAACAATTATTAATAAATAAAGGATTATTTAGTGCAATAGCACAAAGTATTGAAAGTGAATGTAATGAAGAAGTATTAAAATTAATTCCATTATTTATTGGAGAAACTCAAAGTGGAATTTTATTACAAAGAATTATTCATAAAATTGCAGGAACATATCTTCTTCAAACACAATTTACACAAATAAGTTTAGAAACATTAGTATTATTATTATGTAAAGACCAAACCATATTACCATTATTACATTCGGTTCAAATTAATGGATTTGAAAATTTTATGCAATTCTTAGTATTAAGAATATTTACAGCAAAGCCAGAAATTAAAATATGTTATTTACAATTATTATCTAATTATATGATTATAAGTTATTGTGATGAAATAAAAAAATATTCAATTGCTAATATTGTTTGTCAATTATATTTTACTTCTGATGATCATTTAATTGTGATTGAATGTATAAAATGTTTAAATAAATTAATTTCATTACCTCAAACCTGTGGAAGTATTTTATATAGACAAATAGAACAAAAATTAATATCTCTTTTATTTTCAGTTTATTCTTTATCAAATTCAAATCAAGTACTTCTTTTTGAAGAATGTATTAAATTAGTTTTAACATTATCAACATTACATCCTTCTCATTTACCAATATTACTTCCAGTTATTCAATTAATTCCGTTTAATAGAATCCCAAATTCTACAAAATCAAATTGTCTCTTACTATTATTACAATTAACTTCAGTTGACCCTTCTGTATCTGCTTTAATTTATCCTGCATTATCAAATCTAACATATGCCTCAACTCAAATATTAGCAAAACTAATTTCTATCTCAACAACTATTATTCCTTTATATAAACTTTATTATTATTTCACTGACGAAGTTTTAATTAGTTTTTTAAAAACAGGAGATATTGACTTAGTAACAAGAGCTTTAGAAATTATTTCAACCCGTTCTCCATCAGTTCCATTAGTTCGTTCATTATTCAAATTACTTACAACATCATTACCAGAAGAAACTAAATTATCTACATTCCATATTTTAGAACAAATACTTCCAGATGTAACAATTATTAATATTCTTCCTTCATTAAATAAAATTCTTCCCTTATTAATTAAGTTACATAGAACTGATTTATTACCATTATTTTCTATTATTATGACTGCATGTCCAAAAGAATTTTCTTCAATGATTATTAAAACTAACTTAAAAGAATATTTGGTACAATCAAAAAGTTTACAACAATTTATTTCTTTAGCATTAACCCTTGACCCAATAGATTTACTTCCTTATTTTTTACCATTACTTAATTCTCTTATCACTTCAAATCCTATTTTTGTTAAAACAGTTCACTCTGCTTTATCTACTTTATTAAATAAATCAGAAAGTGTTATAGATAATGAAGGATTAGTTGCTTCATTAGCAGATTTACTTTCTAATAAACAATTAATAGAACAAAGTGTTTCTCATTTTAAGGTTCTTCTCAAACACCAATGTTTTGTCCATGAATATTTGAAAAATGGAGTTAATAATCTTATTCAATTCTATAAGAATAACCAACTCAAAGAAGAAATTATTGAAGCTGTTAAACAAAATTGTTGTGAAGAATCATTACCATTACTCAAATATATTCTTGAAGATGCAATTCAAGGAAATGAAAATGCATTAAATGCAGTTAACCAATTTATGACAAAAGGAATTGGAAGAGAATGTGTAACATTAAAAAATAAAGACTTATTAGTATTAAGTATTAATTATCCAAATGCACTTTGTTCTCTTTCTTTAATTAATGACACTCAATTAGACAGTACATTATTATTACAACTTATTGATAAAAGAGAACAATTAACAAATAAACAATTAGTTTATTTAATTCGAATAATAGCACAACAAATGTTATTTGGATTTGATATTGAACCTTCGTTAATATCAACATTATTAGAAAATAATGATGAAGAAGTAATCACTGAATTACTATCATTAATTGTTTTAAATCCTTTCAAATATTCCGTGTGTTTAAAGGAATTTCCTTTATCAAACTATCATTCATTAGAACCATTTGTGACATACTTACAACCTTTCATTATCTAACTTAAAACAAATTCAATTTTTTTTGTGTTTTTTTTGTTTTTTTAGTTATGTAAAAAAAAGATTATATGCTATACAATAAATGAAATAACAATGGCTATGACTAATAATCATCACGAGATGAATGTGTGAATTATTAAGAATATATTTAAAATATAAATATCAAACACCGGAATAAGAGAAATGATAGAAACAAAAATGAAAAGAATAAAATTGAATAATAAAAAGAATGAAGAAGAAAGTGTTTTGTAAGAAGAATAATTTTAATGAAATAATGAATGGAATAGAAATGAATGAAAGAAAATATGATGTAATGAAAGTATTTGAAAATTTAATAAATGAATTAAATGGTATTTAAATGAATTGAAAGAATATATCAAAAAGTGAAATAGAATACTTAATGATAATAAAATAACAACAAGAAATGGAGATTATTTAATATAAAAAGAAAATCATTTCTACCAATAAAAACCAAGAAAAATCAAACCAATAGAATAAACAGTATAATAACAATAAAATACACAAATACACAATAAAATCAATACAAATGAATTAGAAATAACAAAACCAAACACACAAAAAACAACAACAGAAATATGAAATAATTAATAAATTACACAAAAGATCAATTTAATAAAAGAGAAAAACTACAAATCACATACCATCAAAATAAAACATAATAAAAACAGAAATAATCATTTCTCAATAATCATAAAATCAATTTATTGATATATCTATTATTAGATCTTTTTTTTTTCATTAAAGAAGAACTAAAAATAATACAGAATGATTCTCTTTTTATTTATTACATTAATATTTGCTTCACCAATATGTGATCAAAATGGTACTTGTAGTAATGAAAACAATGAAGAGCAGTTGAAGATAAATACAAAATGGGATAGTATAATTAATATAATGAAAAATGTTTTAGGACAAATGTGGAAACACATAAAAACTGAAGGAATTCCAATTGAATATACTTGGAAAGAAGTTAACACCTTTTTAAATGAAGATTGGATTGGAAAAAAAATCAAAGGATTAATGATACTTAGTCCAGAAATGAGTGATATTTTTCAATCATTAAATGAAGCCCAATCACAACAATTAAAAGGAGAAACCACTCATCTACTTGAACAACTAACAAAGATAGAAAATTCATTGAAAGAATGGAAACAAATGATTGGTAAAGAAGGTGCAGCAAATGAATTTTTTGATGACTCAAAAAACGTACATAATTTTGTTAGTAATGGACTTCAACAAATAAAACCTGAAAAAACTGTAAAAGACTTTGTAAGCTCCTTAGGAATGAAATGGTTGTCATGGGTATTAAAGAAAAGTGTTATTAAGAAACGTCAACAACAAAAAACAAAGAATAATTAAATTTTTTTTTAAATGAATAAAAAGGAGTTCAGTCATAATTCCCAATAGGAAGATGGTGAAAAATATGGAAGGTCTATTAGTTGAATTTGGTGTTCTCCACATAATGGACATTCAGTTTCAACTTGTGTTTGGTGTGTTAAAGCAAATGGTGTTTTATTATTGGTGAATTCTTTTTTAATACAAGAAGGATGAAAAATATGACCACAAGCAAATAATACAAATTGTTCCTTTTCTTTGATAATTTCATTACACAAACTACAATGACTTGTAATACAGGTAAATAAACTTTTATTGAAATCAAATGAACTATTTGTTATTTCTATTGTTTTGTCAATTTCATTTTGGACTCTTTCTATTTCATTACCAATTGTTTCAATTGATGTAGTTAATAGTTCAATTAATTCTTTGTTATGCCATTGAAAAGGAACTAGGTCAATAACTAGATTAATTGGTATTGAGTATTTTTTAATGAGTTGAATAACCGTTATTTCATCACAATTACTTTTAATGAAAGCATTAAATATTTTTATTAAATAATCTTCTTTTTTATCTTGTATTGCAATACTATAAGTTAATTCAATTGCTTTTTCTACATCTTCATACTTTTTTTCTTCTTTAATTAATTCAATAAAAACTTCAATCATTTCTTCAGTCATTTGTTTATTTTCTAAAATAAATAAATAACTTCTTTTGTGATTTTTAAAATAGTGTTTTAAAGGAAGATTTAAAACACACTCAAGTCTAATAGATTTTTCTTTCATAAATTCAAGTAGTTCTTCGTCAGTACAATAACGAACCATTCCCCAAAAAATAAATTCACATAAGTCTAGATTAAATCCATTTTTTGATTCAATTTTAAGTAATAACTGATGAGCAAATTGAATTGATTTCTTTTGATCTTTAAATGAAGCCAATCCTGTAAAGAATGATGGAAAGAGACAAAATTCAACTGAAGATAAGAATTGAACGGTTTTGTCATTATTTCTATAATACAAAATACTAAAATATTTTTCTAAGAAATATTGTGCTTTCATTGTTTGATTACTTACATTAAAAGAAGAAGAAGAATTAAAAAGTGATTTTATTTCTTTAAATACTTCATCATCTTGTTCTTTATTAATTAAATAATTAATATACCCTTCAATATCATTACATATATGACAATATTCAATAAACAAATCATCTAATCCACTCATTTCAATAATATATCTAATAATATGATAATCAATTCCTTCTTTCATTTTGATTGATAACTGTAACGTATTTTTAATACTTTCAATATATTCTTTTCTTCGTTCTATTCCACTTTTTTGAAGAGATTTAATATCCATAATAATACTCCAACAATATAAAATAATTTTTTTCTTACTATTTACTTGACATTCATCAAGTTCTTTATGTATTAAAATTCTAGCCTCTTCTTCATCTTTTATTTCATTTAATTTAAATAAATTAATTATTTCTTTCTCTTCATTACTTCGTTTTATAATTCTATATAAACATTGGTCCGTTAAAATCCACATTGTTTTATCATCATTAATCATCCATCTTCCTTTACCCTCAATTCTAATACTAGTTGTTATTCCATTCGTATCATCTATTACTTCTACACCTCCGTTCGTATTTAATACAAACACTTTCTCTTCAAATTCTGTCTTCTTAATAAATGGTTTCAAACTATTTTTTTTTAAAATCAACTCATTTGTAGTTTGGTCAAATGAAAGAATATCATTAAACTTATATATCATCTCCTTATCATGTGGATTAATATTAAATAATTCAGAAGAATTCCAAATGACATCATACACACCTTCTTTTTTAATTAATTCAACACTTCCTTTATTACTCTTATTATCATATTCAATTTTATCTATACTCTCATAACTTCCATGCCATAACTTATCAAATACAATTCTTCCAACTTCCTTTCCAGTACAACACACTACAACTATTCCATTCATACTTTCAATAGCACCAAATCCATTCCAACTTTCTTTGTATGAAGATGAAATATACACGCATTTTGTTTTAGCATTGATTGGAATTTGATTAGTAAAAAAACTTAATGTAAATATACATTTGTCATTAGTAAATACAACAGCCTTTATTTCAAATGACTCAACATGATAAAATGAAATTCCAACTACTTTACATCCTTTTCGTTGTCGAAGTTCTTCAGGAAAGAAGAAATTAATATCAAATTCTTCATATGATGTCTTTTCATTTTTTATTTCTCTTTCCCTAAGAAAAATAAGTCTTCCTTCACTTGTAACAACAACAACTCTATGGTATTGATCAATATCCCCATGAAGATAAATATCTTTAGAATCATTTACAATTACATGTTCTTCATTTTTACTATAAACAATAATAATTTTCTTATCTATTAAAAGTATATCATCTGCTTTATTCTTCACATACTCATACTCTTTTGGAATATTATAATAACGAAAAGGCAAAACCGTGATTGGAAATGAAAAAAGTTGATCTTCCATTATTCTTTTTTTATTGTTTTTTTAAGTTCTTTTAAATACTTTTAATGATTCTGTTATTTATAACGATAGTTTTTATCTTTATAATTTTTCAATTTCATCGGTTTATTAAATAAATAAGCAGAAAATATCACTTCTAACTTTTATAAAGTTGTGGATATTCATTTATTTTTCATTGTAAAGAAGAGAGTAATTAATAAGTACTATTATCTTATTAATAAAAGTAAAGTTTATAATAACTTTTCAACCAAAACAAATAACTGTCTTTTACAAACAAACCATTTATGACTATACTGTTTTTTAAAAGGGTAATTTAATAATATAATACATTTTAGTCTATAATTTATAAAATGAATTTTAGAATTATTAAACATTAGACTCTTTTATAAACGATTTAAATAGAAACAATAATATTTTTTATAATAAAGGTTGTAAAAGAATGTTTTATATAACATACATAATTTAAATAATGAAAAAAGTTTCAATTACAAAAAGTTCAATATTATTGACTTCTCTTTTGTATCACTTAATAACCACTTTTCCTGGTTTGACTGCTCGAGTACGTTTGCCTTCTTTCACTCCTTTTTCTCCTTTCCATTGTTTTGGATTTGGTTGATATTTAAACATTGTTTCATTAACTTTGTTGCTATTGTAATAATATGATGGTGTTGAGACATCCACAAGTAGTTGAGACGCTTTGTCCATATTAACTTCTTCTAATTTAGCCAGTCTATCAACTTTTGTCATTGTCCACCTTTTAATAACGTGTGAATTATTTGGGTTTGGCTGTTGTGCCTTTGGTATATTTACTTGTTTCTTTTCAATACTTAGTAGTCGTTCATAAATACTTGGTCCTTCTTCCATTTCCATTTTTTTTGAATGAATTTTTCAAGTTTTGGAATGAATTATATCATTTTTATTTCTTAATAACATTTTATAATTGCTATTGTTATTATATTATGTGTTATACTAAACAACTTTTTTGTTTATTTTCTTTTATCAATTTCTTTCTATAATATAAACAAACACAAAGACACAATTCTCTAGCTATTCACAATTAATTTGAGTATTTTTAATAGATATGAGAAAATCTTTTTAGCATTTAACTAAATATGTTAAGACTTACCTAATAATAAATAATATTCATAATGACAATAAACTTTAAAAATTTTTAAACTTTGTTATATGTATTTGTTATATTTCAATCGTTTATTATGTTTGTTACTTATAATTCCATTTCATTATGAACAGTCAAAGTACTTTAACATCAATTTAAAATTATTTATTTATGACATTATCTGTTTTTTATTTCATTTTGTAGTTGATTATTTTGTTTTTATGTATTATTGAACATTAACCTTTTTATGATAGTATTAATTTGAAAATCTTTAGCAACAAATTCTATCTTTTTAAAAATTTAAATTCACTTTTTTCGTAATAGCTGTACTAAAATTCAAGTCAAGTTATTAAATTATTCTTTTGTTTCATTAAATTATTCTTAATAATATTATAGAGACTCTTCAAACTTAAATAAAATATTTTCTTTTAATCTTTCATATCAAAACTAATAATGTATAAGAATCAAACCAATAGATAATCATTAATCATATTTGTGTAAGTAATATTAAAAGAAGTTATTACAAGTTAATAAAATATATGTTGTGCTTAAAAAGTAAAAAAAACAATATTGATAGTAAAATATGATTATATAATAAAACATGATTATTTTTAACGTTGCTTAAAATAAATGATATGTTTTTATATAAGATATGATATATGAATGAAGAAAAAAATACAAACTATTGTAACTATTTATTCATATATGACTTTGAATATAATTATAAATATATAAAAATATACAATTATCAAAACAACAGTTATTTGAGTAACTATAATAATAATTTAAATAGGCAACGAAAAAAGCAAATAATTGAAAAAGAAGAGAAAGAAAGATATAAAAGAATATAAAGATATAAAAGAATATAAAGAAAGTAAGAAGTAGAAGAAGAAAGAATAAAAGTAGAAAGGAGAGAAGATAAAAAGAAAGAAGATAAAGAGTAATAAAACAAAAGAGATAATAAAAGATGAAAAGAAATATGAAATAAATTGTGTATTTTAATGTAAAAATTAGAAATATTCAATAAAAAGTGTATAATCTAATGATGCAAAATGATTAATATTATTTTATTGTTGAAAATATTTTATTATTTTTTATGTTTATTATTTATGTGGATAATTTCATCATGATATTTATTATATATTCAATCATAAGTGTTATGTTATTATTATAACATATAATATGTAATAAAATAAAAATGAAAATGATATGAATATATGATATAGATAGAATATAAAAACAAAAGAATAATAAGAATAAATGATAAATAAAACGAGAAATGATAATAAATGATATAATAATAAATTCAAAGTATAAAATATAAAATTAATATTAATATAAAATGAAAATAAATATAAAATGAAAATAGATATAAAAGATAAGAATATAAA